AAGAGTGTCAGAGAGCAAACACTGAGGTCTCCTCAAGTGATCACCACGTCCTCCTCTTGCCTCCTTGGAGGCTGGGCTCCCTACTTCAGAGGTCTGACTTCTCACCCAGGGACCAGATTTCCTCCTTGGTGGTCCTTATGGCAGGACTTATATCTATATATTTGTATTATTTTAATTAAATTTTTATACAATATATTTCAATTATGCTTTCTTCTCTCCCAACTCTCCTCAGATCCTCCCCATCCCCCTACTACCTGACTTCATGTTCTCACTTTCTCAAATAAATAAAATTAAATAATGAAAATCAAAACAAAACCCCAACAAGACAAAAAATGACAAAATAAAACAAAATCCCCCCAAAAACCCTAACAAAGCTGAATTTGTTTTGTGTTGGCCAGCTGCTTGGGAGCATGGGGTCTGCCCTGGAGTGTGTTTGCAATACCCCGACACTCCATTGGAGAAAGCTGATTTCCCCTTTGCTAGAAGATATCAGTTGCAAATTGCTTCTGGGTTAGGGGTGGGACCCTGGGTGCTGGTACTCCAAGGGCTGACATTTTGAGAGTGTGACCTCCCTTTGCTTTGGTGTTCTGAACATTGTCATAATTCTTAATGCTTTGAATCAGGACCTCAGCAATTTTACATCGCTCTGGGTCACTCCAATGACAGCTGCTCCTGGTGGGGAAAGCTGGAGAGCAAGGACTTGCTGAGCTCACTGCTCCTCCCTCCCCTGAGAACAACAGAAAAGCCAGCACAATGGAGGCTTTGATCTGGCTCCCTGTGACAAAGGCACTCGGGGGAGGGGGAGGAGAGGGACAAGGAATAGGACCAGTTCTGCCCACCCTCCCCAGCTGGAGTTCCCCACCCATGCTCACCCTGACACCAAAGTGCCCCGCCTCTGTGTGACATCATCCAGTGACAAGGGAGTGCCTGTTCCCATGGACTCCACTCAAGTGCTGGTCCTGTGTCCCCTCCTCTCTGCTGTGTGGTAGACATTCTCAAAGAGAACCAGCGAACCTGCCGGAGTAGCCATCTTCTCTCCGTAGCCACCCTGGGTTCTCACCTCATCTAGAAGCCTTCAAGAGAAGCCAGTTCTGCTTCCTTGTGCTCAGCCGTCCCCCACTCCCCAAGCTGTGGGTAGTGGAGTGCCTTTTCCCTCAGATGTCCTAAGATGGTAGGAGCCAAAATGAGTTCTTCATGTGTGTGTGACATTGTTTAAAGATGAAAGAGCCAAGCAGGGTCCCAGAGGCTCCCTCCACAATTGCCCAAGGTAACAAACACAGAAACTTCTGCCGACTGTGGTACCCGGTTCCTCAGAATTGAGCACCCAGAACAGCACTTAGTAGTGCAAAGTGTCAGATTTCAAGGCAAGCTCAGGGACTGGTGGAACTGGACAGATTAGGGCAGGACTGCTTTCCTGCCTGAAGCTTCAGGGGCCTTTGATGCCGTGTTTACTATCCTAAGAGCCAGAGGACAACTTTCAAATACCAGAAATTATCTCTCCCTTCCGATTAGTTCAAGGTCCACATCACAGGTGACATCATGTCTCAGAAGCAGAAATAGATCTCTATGAAGAGTGTGTAATGTCTTCTGTCTGGCAGATCTGGTTTCCCCCTTAAGCCCCAGTCTCCCTGCCCTTCCTAATTGCTTCTCCAGCCTCAAAGCTCTTTCATGCTGCTGTCTGAGGGCACTGGATCGTCTGTGTGGGGGCAGCTGTACGGCTACGTTCATTAAGTCTGTCTATGCTGACAGTTAATGGGCACCCATAACTGTTAGCCTCTGTGAACAAGATGGGACATCTGGAGTAAAGGTACAGCTAGGCCAGAACGTCTTCAAGTCCTCCGCTGGGCCTAACTGGGGCAGAGCACTTCTTCAGGACAAAGTACACCCGTCTTCTGTGCTGAATGTACAATGTCTCATTTAGTATGTGAGGATCGTTCCTTGACTTTCCCATTTGACACACAAGGAGTGAAGTTCAAAAAAAAATTGATGTGGGATTTCCCTCTGTATGCTGTGATTACCATTAACAGATAAAGAAACTGCTATAGTGGTCCACCTATAGCAGGGCAGAAGTTAGGTAGGCAGGGAAAACTAAGCTGAATGCTGGGAGGAAAAAGGGCAGAGTCAGAGAGAACCCATGGATACATAGGAGATAGCCGCTGGGAACTTTAGCTGGTAAACCACTAGAAATGGGTTAAATTAATATGTAAGGGTTAGCCAATAAGAAGCTAGAGCTAATGGGCCAAGCCGTGATTTAATTAATATAGTTTCTGTGTGATTATTTCGGGGCTAAGCAGCCGGGAACCAACAAGTGGCCCCCTCCTTACTACAAAAAATATTTGTCAATGGCCAGAGTTGGGGTTCAACTCCAGGGTAGGGCCTCAGATCCTGGTCCTCTCTCTATCTGTGGGTCCTGACTGTGATGGATGAACACATGACACCAGGTGCTGCTAGCTGCTCTCTTCAGGTTTCAGACCTAGAATTCACGACAGAAGTATTATGGGATTGGAGTCTCTTCCCTTCAGCTTGAAATGAAGGCATTCTCTCCCTTTCCCACCAAACAGAGCAAAACACGTCACCTCCACATGGAAAAAGATAAAGCCACAGACTTCCAACTTTTTTTAGTGGTTAATGGTGTCTCTGCCAAACCTCAGGGGGACATTCTAAGAGATCAATCTGAAGGATTGATAGCTTGGGGCTATCATGTTTACTTCAGCACTGAGGAACATGAAACTGTAGAGCTTTGAAATCCTTTCAACACGTATACTTAATCCTCAGCATTCTGTATGAAAGAGACTATTTAAAATCATGTTGGCATGTGTGTGCTGCTGGGTTCAGAAGAGTGTATCTAAACCCCTGTCCTGAGATACAAGCAGTCGTGAGCTGCCCAACGCGGGTGCTGGGAATTGAACTCGGGTCCTCTTTCTTACCTACTGAGCCCCTCTCCAGTTCCGACATTTTTTAGACACCCACGAAGCCATCTTCCGATTTGGAGACTGAGAGATTATTAGGCCCTCAGTTCTCTAAGCGGCTGCCTGACTCCACTGGCAACGGGTTGAATTGCACAAGAAAACCCACTGTCCCCAAAGAAGGAAATGCCGAAGTTCCCACTCACTCTAAAACCTCAAAGGTCAATGACCTGTACGCACATCAGTTCCACAGACCATTCAGACAGCTCGCCAACAAAATCACGTTAGCCTACATTGGTCTCCAAGTCCGCACACCCCCAGTCCAGCCTTGAACCTTCCACCTAGCTTCAGTCACTCCGAGTTGCTACGATTACTCATAAGTGGATAGAAGATATAGAACAAAGCAAAGGAGAACCAGACTACAATCCACAGCTCCAGTAACTGAGGGAATTAGATGTAAAGATCCACAACTAAGCACCAGTCTAGTCAGAGAGAGAGGGGGGAGGGAATGTGTGAGCAGGGGAGATGAAGATCATGATGGAGAATTCTACAGAGACAGTTGAACCAATCTCATGAAAACTCACGATCTCTGGACAGCTGAGAGCTCCAGGCATCTGAACTAGGCCCCTCTGTATGTGGGAGTCAGTCGTGAAGCTTGGACTATCTGAGGGGCCCCTGGCAGTAGGACCAGGACCTACCCTGGTACAGGAGCTGGCTTGTTAGAACACATTCCCTCTGAAGGGATGGCATGCGAAGACTTAATGCAAAAGGGAGGGGCTTGGTCCTGCCCCAAATTAGTGTGCCAAGCTGTGTCGACTCCCCATGGGAGCCCTGACCTGTTGGGAGGAGTAGATGGGGGGGGGCTGGGTTCGGGAGGCAAGGGCAGGTGGGAGGGAGAACCTTGGTTGGAATGTAAAATGAATTAAAAGGTAAATGAATATTAAGAAAGTGACGCTGTTCCTGGGTTGTATTCTACAAGGTCTTGTTGGCTTCTACTTGTGTTTTTGGAAGCCCTGAGTTGCCACTGCCCATTGTCCCAGAAGTCAAGGTATCCAAGACCAGCCCAAATACTGGTGCCACCCTTCGTCCCTACTGGAACATACACACACCAGGGTAAACAAAAGGCTTTACTGTGGATTTAGGGGCCGTGGTTAAACGAAGGGCTTGAGTCATCAGCATTGCCAAGAGTCCCTTAGTTGGGCCTCCTGATGGAGATTCCTAATGACTTAGGTATGTCTTTCTCCTGTTCAGGGGACAGTCACCTGAATGGGAGGTACACATGAATGACAGGCAGCCTGAGGACAGAGGAGATATGGAAGTTGACTTTCTTCTATCACTAACCATGGCAGAGTCTGTTATCTGCACACCTGCTGTGGACAGCAGCATCTGACCTGCCCTTTATCACCCAATATTTTGGGTTCCTCTTCTCAGCACTCCAGTTCTGATCGTTCGACTTTTGGGTACCTATTTTCTTCACCCTCAACTGGCCACCAGCTGGTCCCGATACAGTATCAACTGACAGAAAACTGCAGGTTAGACTTGGTAGTTTTGGGACCCAAAGTGAAATAGAGGAACACAAACCGTAACTGGAATCTTTAGGGCCTCTTACTTAGCTCCACATTTTCTCACTAACACCAAGCGGGGCTGGAAAGATGGCTCGGCGGTTAAGTTCTTGCTTCTCTTCCAGAGAACAACTTACAATTGTCTGTAACTCCAGTCCCAGGGGACCAGATGCCTCCTGTGGCCTCAGGGGCCACCAAGCGTGAAGATGGCACACAGTCACACATGTGGTTAATTTTCCTGCTTCAGCCAAACAAGCGCCTGTCTCCATCCCCAGAGTGTCTCCAGGGCGTGGGCACCATGGTGCTCCTTGGTTACCAACAGAAAAGAAGTGCTTCGTTTTCTCCCTTGTGCGCAGGCTTTCATACCCACTGCAGAGTGTTTTCCTGACTGTGAAAGAGGCCCACTTTCTCTGGTGGTCAGCCAGCCCCCCCTCCCCCATGCTGCATCTCTGTTTGGTTCTGTGCATCCTGAACTGTGGGCCTCTCCAGTCTGTTTCTCCAGCCTTTAAGAGTTAAGAACAAGGTCACCGACTCCTGAGAGGTAAAAATTTATTGATTTCTATGACATCAGCATGTTATGACACGGTCACACCTGCTCATACAGCTGACTCCTCGGACCAAAAGAGGATTTGGTTTTTCCTTTTAAAAATACATTTTTCACCAGCAAGAAACATTTTTCTAAAACAAACATTTTCATATTAAGTGGGAATTAAAAACAATGGCTTTCCCCCACCTTGTGGGGTGTAGGGCTGGTCAGCAACAGATCTCAGAGAGCCCCAAATCTGCTGTTCTCCACATAAAGTACTTCATAGGGGAAATAAAACTGCAGCCTCCCCCAACCAGCAGCCTAAATCCAGCCAGGAAAAGAAGAGGTAGACTGAACGCTAACTACTTAACTTATTTGGTAGGATTGTGCGAGATATTTTAATACATTAAAAGTTCTCAACAGGGTCAAACATATTTTACAAACAAGTAATTAAACCATCAATGCTTTGTCCTGCATTTACTCAGCTCCGAGAGGCGAAGCGTGCTGGCCATGTGCTGGCCACCGTGCGCCCTGAAAGGCTATCTGCCGTCAGACTCCCCACGGCCATATCCGTGCTTTTCCCACAATTCACAACCTGCAAGGAGCAATGAGTAAATCAATTCTGAGAATTGTATCCAATGCTAATAATAATGAAGTCAAATCAAAACACAGAAAGACGACAGTATTGAGGTGAAGGTAGCTCTGACTTTCTGACTTGCCTCCAAGAGGTGATCAATTGTTTACTGGTTTTGGTTTTTTGAGACAAGGTTTCTCTGTGTAGCCCTGGCTGTCCTGGAACTAATTCATGCTGTAGACCAGGCTGGCCTCAAACTCAGAGATCTGCCTGCTCTGCTTTCTGAGTGCCGGCATTAAAGGTGTGCACCATCGACTGGCTTCTTATTTAATTTTAGGGTTTTAATATAATTAAAAATGAATTATCTAAACTAATTAATGCTGAAGCTAAAAGGAGGCTCTGTACAAGGGTAAGAGTCTAGTAATAAGTCAAACACTAGATTGATTAACAGTCTATGTGGAGATGGTTAGGTATCAGGACATCACGCTATCAATCAAATCATGGTTGATATTCAGTCACAGGTTGGCTCTGAGGGTTCAGCAATGACAATTATAATGTAAAAACCAATTATATTTTATTATTTGCTAACTGCATTAAATATCTCTTATAAGCAAAATTTATTACATATGTATGTGCACTTACATACCTAATTTTCTCCAAGAGAGAGGACTGCTAAACATTTACCATCACGCAACAAATGAGAAGACTTGAGGAAGGGCAAATCTTTTAAGTCCTGGAAGGAAGCAGATGGTTTTCTCACCAGCCACTGAATGCTGAGCTCCAGGCACGAGCGCCAGCGGTTCACACTGTGAAGCTCCAGCACAGCACAGATACCCGTCCCCACTATTAAGAATTAAAAGCATTGTTTTGGAAAAAAAAGAATCAACTTTATTTTCTCTACATTAAAAAAAAATAGAACCAGCTATTAATTTTTGCTGAGAAAATGCTTCTTTTGGTATTCACAATATCTAAGTTTCTGAAAAGGTAATCTGGTAAAATCATCCCTAATGCATTCAGAAACCAGATCCACACGTGACCAGCCCTTTACAGAAGTAAATTGCAGTTTCCTCAGCCTTTACAGACATTCTTAAAACACACTGTGACATGCGGATCACAAAGAAAGTTCAACAAGCTGAAGTAAACATTACAGCATTATGAAAACAAAAATGCATCTGTAGAAAATAAATACAACTTTGTAATAATTGCAAAGGAAGTGAAAGCACTTAATAAAAACAATGGCAGTTGAATGTATAACTGTCTCATTACCCAATCAAAAGATGTTCCTGTAAAATGCAGGCTCCTTACATGTAAAGAATTTGTGCACCACAGTCGTGTTCAACAGTTTTACACAATAAAAATAAAATCATTCAAAGCATCTGCATACTTTGCAACTATAATATACATACATTTTTTTTGCTCTTTAAGACTGTTTTAAAAAAATATTAAATGTAAAAATTCCTCAGATGGCATTTCTGCAGATAGCCCAAGACTGCACCTTACGTGACTATGCCATTCTTCCCCAACAGTTGGGAACCTGCAGCTTCTTCTCAGAGCCCACTTGGTAACTACTGGGGGCTGATACAAAATGACTGCCACACAGCACCAACCACTGACTGCTTCAGAGTATGCCAGGCTCCTCTGTGATCCAGAAATTTCCAACTTAGGTGGTTTTGGTCCCAAACAGTGTCTACCCATCACGACACGAACTAGCACACCTGTAACTCAGAGCTCCTTTGACTCTCCTGCCTGCAGCTGGAAGGCTCACAGCACTCATAGGGCAAAAATCCCATAGAAGACACCATTATCTTCCACCCTTTGTGGGACAGAGCTGAATACACTTTCTGTAATAGTAACTCTGGAGGAAAATTCTCTGTTCACTGTTGTGCAGTGACTTCAAAGAAAAGGATAAAAACCACAAAACATTAGTTAACTCCTCCTGTTCAGTAATGCAAACAAACATGAATGGGACACAGAAGACTCCTGTGGTCAAAGACTACTTTCTGTGACTACAACCGGGACCAAGTTGATAAGAGTCTTCGGTGTTTACTGATTGTCAAAACACATCACTAAGACAAATTAATAAGAAGGGAGCCACACACATGGCCATGAATGAAGCGGCATTTCCAACACTGATCCAGACGACCACATCAGAGGCCGCAATGGGTGGGCCAATTTCAGCTGCACCAACTCTGTCTTGTTCAGAGATGCCCGTCCAGCCCACAGGTTATGCTGGCTTTGGTGCCTTCTCTTCCTGCTGGTTGTCTGAAATTCCTACAAAAAATTATTGTTTGGCTTCCTATGACTTAATACTGAATTAACTACCCTGTAATTGACTACTTATTCAGCAATCCCAAGTTCTTTGCGATAGGAATTTAAGAGCTGTAACACCAAACACTAATAAATGACAGATCTGAACCCACAGCTATCGCTTCACACTTTACTAAATTCTCGTCTAACTAGTTCATCCATTCAAGCTTCATCCCTTTCTGGCTTTTCTTTGCTTCCACTGCTTATGGGCTGCTCAGTCACACATGTATTTCTGAAACTGGGCGAGGTGAGCTGTTGCTCGGTCTTGTCTGTGGTCCAAGGACTCTAGCAGCGAGTTGCCCAGCCTCTCTGCAGCTGAGGACAAAGAGCAGCAACCCTAAAGGATGCCTTTACAAACTGGTGTGGCTTTACTCACTTTTCCTCCTATCTTGAGACATTAATTTCCTTTCTTCACACACAGTACAAATGGGAAATTTATTCTGTTCTCTACAGTGGCATATTGCAGTTTCCCCAGACTGTTAGGAAGAATACCTGTTCTTCACATTTCCTAATTAGCTCAGGCAGGTGGACTCCAGTTCCGGATAAGGAACTACTATCAATACTCTCAAACAGGCTTTGCACACAGAAGACACGTTGAATGAACTGAAGATGTGTAGGACAGATCAAATACATATCTATTTGTAGCTCAGGTATATTATCAAAAGTTACACAAATCTATCATTATTTGTCACTCTAGAGACTGTGAAAATCAAACTGCATCTGAAAGTGATGCCTCTTAGGGGAGCGGGTTCCCCATGTACGGTATATTCAAAGATCATGTCCTAGGAGCTGGCCACTGCAGTCTGTGGCTTAAATAGGCTGCTAGCTAGTGAACAACTTCTCCCCCAGATGGCCGGCTGATGCCTCCATTAGATTCACCCAGCCTTTCCTGGGCCTCAGATAGAAGCACTGAGCAGCTTCTCTCTGGCTGCCCGTCATTTCCAGGTGAAGCAGCTTTCTCCACCTATTCACTGTCACTGTAAACCAGAGCAAACAGAGGTCTCCTGCAGAGTAACAGCAGTGGTGTGGTGTGGTGAGGTACGCCAGCTAACATGTCATTCCCTTCCACATGTGCTCTGGGTTTGCTGAAGATGAAGCTTTTATTTGGTGTAGTTCAGCCTTTCCCGTACAAGTGGGGAAATTTGCATCTTTTCCTCTTTTTTTTTTTTTTTTGCTTTATTTGAAAAACAGAAAACATTAGTCTTTACTTTTGTTTTACAGCCTATTTCTCAGAATTGTTATTTGTGCTGTTAGCCACAATAGGGGAATCTACAGTGTTCATGCCACGCGAAACTCCAGCTGCCTTATTCAGGTTTAAACATTTTATTATCCTAAACCAAACCCTCTGTCTCAATACTGATGCAGTGTCTGTACTTTTTGCAAAGTCTGGTTCTCCTGTGAGGTAAATCACAAGAACACAATGACAGAAACTTGCCTGACTCTGCCCTCTTCAAAAACAACTGGAAGAGACTGGGAGGTGTCCTGAGTTGCCGTCTCCTGGTCCTGCTACCCTGAGAAGAGCAGCCGCTTGACATAATGACAGAACACACTGATGTCTGCACAGATTCTGGAGGCACCTGGAGGCCCTGTCAATACTGCAAGCCAATGTCTGCTTCTATGTTTTATTTCCTAATATGCTAGTCTACTTCCCTTAAACTGGTCATTTAAATGTTTGCATTAATTTGCTTTAACTGCCCTCAAATACATTTGGTGCTACTATGTTAAAGTTGGGGGAGGGGAGTGGGGTCAGGGAGGTGCATCATGGGCAAGCACGCAGACAGGACAGCCTCCTGAGAGCCTGCTCATGACGAGGCTTCCTTTTGTTTCCGGCTGTTACTACCCTTTGTTATATTTGCATCTGATAAAAGTGCATTTTGTAAACTACAATTATCACTCGATGATGTGCCTTCTATACCAAAGAGAAAGTGGTGCTCCCCTTCCCTGACAGAGGGAGAACACTAGCACATGTTAGCATGGTGCTGGGTGAGCTAGCCTTCCCAGGATACAGTGGTTCCGTGGACAGTGGACACTGCTCCTCAGCCAGGATTGAGGACTGCAGCTTGTTAGAGAAGGTGACTAGTCCTCAGCATGACGGGTGGACACATTAACACTGTGAAGCTCCGCCCTAATAGAGGAGCACAGCTTCTGAACTGGGGCATGACCAAGGGCATCTGGTGGCAACAGTTTCTTTCCAAGTCTTCTAGGATGATTTTATGATTTCCTCTTCTCCCAGTGTGATGCTTGCATAAACATACGATAGAGTGTATCTCCTTAAAACATGAAAAGTTCTTAAAATACATTAGCACTTCATTGTATTACTGATCCTCATTGTAGTAGAGTTTTAAAATATCCCAAAGGGGGATAAACATTAATCCATCCATTTGAATTTCCTTTGCTTTTTATATATTTTGATTTGTATATTTAGATTTGCACATGTAAAATAAAGCACATGTATGAAGTCTGAACTCCTCCTATGTGGCAAGTCCAAATCATTTCCTAAAATAGGCAATGGTAAAAATACTGAATGATGTGGTACCACAGATAGCCTGACAAAAATGCGAAGCACTGAATGAGGAATATCCACGTGTTGCTGAGGGTCATCTCCCTGGAAACAGCTTCCTTCTGGCCCTGGGGAGGAGGAAAGGCTCCTAGAAGACAAGACAGAAGGTCACGTGATTCCTGGCAGTACAGATCTCCTGAATGAAAGCTGAGCATTCACCCACACTTAGGCTCACTTTGCAGAGAGTTTTCCTCTGGGACACAATTTTAACAACCTAGGCTTCGCCCAGCACTCTTCCACCCACTGGGTGGATGACACAGCAGCATCCTCTGGCCTTGGCTCCCTGCCGTCCACTCTCCAGTGTCTGTCTGCTTTCCTTCTGTAGGCTTGCCTACTGTCCACCTCCCCTGGAGTCCAGTCTGTGAGAACCAGCACTCAGGTTGCTCTGCTCCTTACTGAATAGCCACATTTCTTCAGTGGTCAGACACAGGATCTATAAAATTGATATCTAATAATTTCTGAAATAGCACTCTCTTTTTGCCACAAAAGTGGTTATATAACACTTATATTCTCAAAATACAGTAATGTTTACAAAATATGTCTTTGTAATAATATTAGAAAGAAAATACAAAGAAAACGTATCTAATTTGTTTTTTCTGGAAAGGAAAGCTGGATGGCTTTGGTACAGTCACCGAGATCCTCTGCCACTCTTGCTCCCCAGTCTTCGTCCTTGCTGCTAATCCTCAGGGTAAGCCAGCTCATAAAGGGATTTGCTGCTTACAAGCAATTCACAAAGGCATTTTCCAGTCTCAAGGGCTGGGATGCAAGTGGCTTTTTAAAAGAGGCTCACCATTGTTCCTACAACTTAGGCAATATCAGGGGGCAAGACACTTAGGGTGGGAAGGTAAGGCCTCTTGGCTGGTCACCTGAATTGCCTGCTCAGCCTTGAACTAACCCTGCCCTGCACTGCACACCATCTCTTGTTTTTGGGCACTAAAGAATCAGCCTATAACACAGCAGCTTGGGAAAGCATGTTGGCTACTATGCTAACCAACACTAATTTTCTTCTTTCCAACTTCCTTTCTTCTTCCTTCTTTCCTGTCTTTTCCTTATACTTTTTGTTGTGTGTTTTGGTGCTGGGGACTCATTCTAGAGCCACACACGTACTGGGCAAGTACCTATCACTGAGTCACACTTCCAGTCCGAGTTTTAGTTTTTATTCAGAGACAGGGTCTCAGGAAGTTACCAAAGAAGGCTTTGAACTCAGGATACTCCTGCCTCAATCTCCCAGGCCTGTGCTACCAGGACCAGATTCACTGTAGTTCTTACAGAATTTACAGAGTATTGAGAATATAGAAGAGATAAGAATAGATTCTTTTCCCTCCCAAGGGCAAATAACTGACTTTGTGCCCTTGAAAACAATAAACTACACCCTTTCTTGTAAGAAAGCCCTAATGCTTCTGCTTCCTGTGAGAGAAGGACCATCTGCTGAGCCACTTTCTGCTCTGACTGACTGTGAACTAAAACCACACAACAGAATAAAAGTCTCCTTCAAAGGGAAGGAAAAGCATGCAAAAACAGATTCCAGTGACCTCAAGTACAAGGTCAGCACATGTCCTGCAGCTGTCTGTGCTCCTCAGTGTTTGAGTCATATGGCTGTGTGGCATGCTCATCACTCTGTACATGGGCCGATGTAGGAAGAAACTACATACATCAACACAAAGCTTTCTTTCCATAGATTCTAAGCTGAAATTCTTACATACAGAATGACTTTATGTCTAATCTAAACAACTGAAAGGGGGCTGGAGAGACAGCTCAGAGGAAAAGAGCATCTGTTGCTCCTCAGAGGACCTAAGTTCTGTTCCCAGCACCCACATCACGTGGCTCACCTATCTGTAGCTCTAGCTCCAGCTCCAGGGGTTCTGAAGCCTCTGGCCTCCTCCGGCACCTGACCTTATGTGCACACACACACACCTACACATAATTAGAATAATAAAATTAAATATTTTAAAGATAAAAAGAAGTAACTGGGAAATGCTTATCCCCTCTAAAGCACATGTCTAGCAGAAATGCGCACCTGTTCTGTAGAAATGGGACAAGAGGTCCTCCTTCTCAATAAACCGCTGATACAGCCACCTGGCGAGGTCATCCGTCTCCAAGGGCACATCTTTAATTGGAAAAATCCTATTAAGATTTAGAAAAATAAAAAGAACTACTTTAATTCAGAACTGAAAACTACTCAAGAACCCTAAACTTACCTTTATTAATGAATCACAAACACACACAGACACGAATGCACTTACACACACACAAAGATTTAAACACTAACCAAAGAAAGTACCTTAGCAATGCTGCTTTATGAGAAAGTGAGAACCAGAAAAAAAATCTGCCCAAATTGATTGATTTTCACTAAGCATACCAGAATACTGGCTTTCTGAACAGGGAAATTTTTTAAAAATTTATTTGTTTGTTTGTTTGCTTGCTTTATGTGTATGAGTGTTCACAGGTCTGTGTACCATGTGAATGCCTGGTGCCTAGAGAGGTCAAAAGAGGGCACTGGATCCCCTGGAACTGGAATTATGACAGGTGTAAGTACCATGTGAGTGCTGGATATCAAACCTGGGTCCTCTGTAAGAACAAGTGTTCTTAACTGATGAACAACTCTCCCGCCTCCTCATTTTTTAATACTGAGGATCAAACCCAAAGCCTTGAATATGCTCTACTGCTCTGCCATATCCTCATCCCTGAACAAAGGGATTTTTGTTTCTTTGTATGTTTGTTCAGACTTTAGAGATAGGGTTTCTCTGTGTAGCCCTGGCCGTTCCAGAACTAGTTTTGTAGACCAGGCTGGCCTTGAACTCACAGAGATTCACCTGCCTCTGCCTCCCGAGTGCTGGAATTAAAAGCCTGATTGACTGACCAAAGAGATTTTTAAATAAAAAAACAGCAGCCCAGAAGACTCTTAGTTATCTAAGCAGGGAGGCTCTTGCCTATAATCCCAGCACTCCAGAAACTGAGGCAGCCTGGGTAAGACAACAGAACAGTGCAGGGTAAAACTCTTTATAACCATAACCAGCAGACTACCACTTAGCGTGGACATGGTCAGCAGAGCTTCCCAACTAGCCACATTAGTTCTTGGGATCCATCCATGAGTCCTCTTAGTATTTAGCAATCTTGTGCTTTCATTTTAGCATTTATCTTAACAAAAATATTCAGAATAATGACAATCATAACTGAGTAATATTATATAATTCTGGAGTCCACATTACAATCAATGTGATACCATTTTACTACTGCAAAAGTAAAAGTCAGGAGAACAGAGCATACATCAGATAAAAGTATACTTAAAGTCCAAGATTTAGCTGTGAGCTTCCCTTTTTATAATGGCAGAGTGGTTCACAGAGGTCAGTTCTGAACAAACGTAGTCAGCAGATGCCTGCCTTCACACTGTTCCTTCAGGCATGGTAAGGGGTGATGGGGGACCCTGGTCTAGTGATACAAATTTAAGTTCGATTTGTTAAACTGTGGGTATGGATTTCTGCTCTTGCTTAAGGGACTATGTTCATATAGTTCATTTCAAAATGTAAAGTTAAAGATTTAGATAGCTACCTATTATAGTCAAACTTGTAGTCATGTTAGTTAAGGTTTCTAGAGATAAAGAAATATATTTCCCCTCGATAAATAATCTTCAACACTTCAAAGACCTTTAAAATTTTTTAAAAACTCAGACTTTTCATGACAATAAGACATATCTCCTGGCAGCACCAATCTACTTCAAGATGATGACAGGCATGAAGAGGCTCCTTATGGACTTTGTTAGCCATTTGAGCAAAAAACTGCTCTTGCCTGGACTGCTTGATGGTATGCTGTATAAACTGGACATGCAGGACCCACAGACTTGCCTAAAGAAGATGTGACAATCCTTTAGGGTTCGTGCATCACAAAAGACAAAAACAAAACCGCCAGACATTTCGCAGGACACAAAAGAAAGCAACTGATGAACTTTGCCATTATAAAGCAAAAGATCTTCACAATCCTTGCTTCATGGAAAAGTCTTCCAGATACTATGAGTCTGTAGGCTGAAGATGGATGCCCCAATGTTATAAAAAAAACTTCTAATGACTGTCCAGGCAGCAGGATGTCTCTGTCAATTCTAGAATTTTAAAAGTTGCTTACAATGAACTTCCTGTTTACTTAGGTAATGTTATATCCTTCTGGAATCTCTAAAGGATTAAAGACAGATAGTTATAATTATAGTTTTCCTTAGTTATGATAAAGGATAAATTAGATATAAAACTTTCCAAATACAAATAGACTAAATAGTGTAAATGTAATTCTCGCTTGATATGTTTTGTTATGTGTAATTTTACTATGTTAAAGTTAAAATCATCTTTTTTACTTAGAAAAGGGGAGATGATGTGGGGTGTCCTTCTGTATATGTGTTGCTTTTATTGGTTAATAAAGAAGTTGCTTTGGCCTATGGCAGGGCAGAATAAAGCCAAGTGGGGAATCTGAATAGAAATATATATAGAGAGAGTAGGTGGAGTCAAAGAGATGCCATGTAGTTGCTGAAGGAAACAGATGCTGGACCCTCACCAGTAAGCCACAGCCTCATGCTGACACACAGAATAATAGAAATCTGTTAATTTAAGATGTAAGAGTTAGTTACTAAGAAGCCTGAGCTGATAGGCCAGACGGTGTTGTAATTAATATAGTTTGTGTGATTATTTGGGTCAGTGGCCAGGAAATGAAACAGCCTCTGCCTACAAATGAAAGTCATCATATGGCCAAAGAGCGTCTTGGCAACCTGCTCTGTCACTTATCTTTCACAGAAGTACAAGAGCTTGGATTTCTGGGCCAGCTGGTAAGGATGAGACCAATATGTGAATAAGAGCAGCACTGATACAGGAAACCTGAGCTGTGTGGTTAACCACATTGCAAAATTGCTCTATTTGAATGAGAGTTTTGTGAGCCAACTCCACCATTATTTGAAGATAATTCTGTTTGAACCTGGCTTTACTTAAGAGATATATTTGGCCTGATTTTTAGGTACAGGTGTTATTAGTATTCATTGTCGACCTGACACAACAGTCACCTGGGAAGAGGGAGCCTCAACTGAGGAACTACCTAGATCAGCCTAGCCTGTAGGCATGTCTGTGAAGGACTGTCTCAACTGATGATGGATGCTGTGGGGAGAAGGGTACACATGGTGGGCAGGTCAGGCAGCGAGACCTGGAATGTCTAAGAAAGCCAGGAGAGCGAGCCAGCTAGCAAACAGCTGCCTGGGCTAAGAGTTTATCCCTTGGTTGGAGGCAATGCTGCACGGGACAGGTTCCTGCCATGGGTCCCGCCCTGACTTCCCTCAAGAATGGAATATGACCTCTTCAAATGCTTTATCACAGCAACAGAAGGGAAATTAGTAATTTTAATATCATGGAAATCTAACAACCAGAGTAAAGAAGCAGACTGTTCTTGAGAGCTGGCATCTGGTCTGCCCTCCTGCTGTGTTCTAGCCATGAGAATATCCAGGCAGCACTGGAAATATTGGTACACCAATATTTTAACTTTCCAATTCCATTTCCTACAACTTCCCTTCGAGTTCTGTTAAGGGTTATTTAATGTGGGCTCTGTGTGCTCTATTTCACAGTCACTCTTACTCAGCATGCCCACTCCCACTCTTCCATCTCTCCCTATCTAAACTCTACCCACTGTCCTTAAGACCCAGCCAAATTAATTACAAAGTGTCTTCTGTTCTAAGATGGCCACACGTCCAGTGATTATCACAAAATAAGTATTCCTTGGAAAAGAGATTTAAAAAAATGTTGACTCACACCAGCTAACACTGCGGTATGTACTATATAAGATCAATTTAATTTTTGTTAATTTAAACCAGGTCTAATTAACTTAAGGATGATTTAGCAGGAGCCATAAGGTCAAAGAAGATCTTAAGTGGTTTTGTATCTGTATGTGAAGAAAGCAAACATTAAATATAAGACTGGATTAAACAGAAGATTTGGGTTTAACAAATGAATTCTTGAAAGAGTAGTGTGTCTCTTGGGTTTTCTCTGTCACTTTAAATGGGGAGCAGCACGGAGGGCAGTGTAGGTCTGAGACTTTATCCCACCATCTGCCCAGAGCTGCCTGGACATTCTCTTGACTTCAATACAGCCACAGCCAGAAGGCAGACCAAATACCCACTCTCAAGAGCAGTCTACTTCTTTACTCTGGTTGTTAGGTTACCATGGGATTAAAATATTAAAATGAGCAATCCTCTAATACGGCAAAGGATCAAATGCACTGAGTCCCAGTTCTCCCGAGACAAATAGGAGGAGTGCTTGGGAGCTCTCAGACCTACGGGATATAAGCTCCAATAGCTACCCAAATGGGAAACAAGAGCCTCATTTTTTTTAAAAAATATTTATTTATTATGTATACAATATTCTGTCTGTATGTATGTCTGCAGGCCAGAAGAGGGCACCAGACCTCATTCCAGATGGTTGTGAGCCACCATGTGGTTGCTGGGAATTGAACTCAGGACCTTTGGAAGAGCAGGCAATGCTCTTAACCACTGAGCCAACTCTCCAGCCCCAAGGGCCTCATTTTAAAGCAATAAAAATTCTTATTATCAGTAACCTAGAATATTTCTAAGTAAAATGTATTTCCCCCTAACCCATGAAATCCTCTTTTAGAGCATTTAGAAATTATACTTTAAAAACACAATGCTTGGCTTAGCAGATGGCACTCTCTACATCCGAGTTAGTACATAAGAATTTTTAAGCCATGAAGACTGTAAAACATGAGCCAACAAATCATACAATTTGCTCCTTGTTCAGTTATGTAAAATACATGGAAGAAACTAACCTTGGAGAGAGGTCTGGAGATAAACAGCTCCTCCTCACTTTATGAAGCTAATTATTTAGCAGAGGGATGAGGAAAACAAGCCAGCCAAATGATCAAGCATTTCACTTTGAAGAGCGGTGGCTGAGTTTGAATGAGGGAATTGGCATTTGCTCATGGAAAAGGACACGGAAAGGCTACAGCCTGAGTACTGTCTACAAGAATAAGATTCAGAACTTTAAAAAATGTTTTGTCAGTGGTGGTGATGCACGCCTTTAATCCCAGCACTCGGGAGGCAGAGGCAGGAGGATCTCTGTGAGTTCGAGGCCAGCCTGGTCTACAGAGCG